TTACCCTGTTGGAGAAGTTTTTGGATGTGCATAGGGATTTGAGTCTTAGAAGATCCCATTCATCTACGTTATCTTCTCCTGGTTGTAGGTTGAAAATTACTCATTGTCATCCATCCAGAGTCAGGTAATATAATTCTAGATACTTTTAAGGAAGCACTAGTGGTTAGAAGCTACACTTCAATCCCAGAGATACACAGTTCTCCACCTGCTGCTCTGTGGGAGAAGCTCAGTCTCCTTCTCTGCAATTTACTGCTTCTGAAAACCTGCTGAAGAGTCAGCAGTGGGTCTGTTCTGACTCAGTGGCCCAACAACAACAATAACCCAGGTGCAAGGCAAAGAATTCTTGCATAAGTAAACTAATAGTTGTTAGGAGTCTATTGGCATAGTGGGGTCCCCTGTGTCAGAGTTGCTTCACCTCACGGACCTCACCAGGGGAGCATCTTTATCCTGTCCCTTTGCTCCACCATAATGTGTTCATGTCAAAGATGAGGACACAAAATATGGATCTTTTACTGGATTAGAAAGTTCTGAAATAAAAATAATTTTTAAGGCTTGCTAAAAATTTCCTTTCCACTCACTCAGCCTCTGCACTTAGATACCTCCATGAAAACAGGATCATCCACCGCGATCTAAAGCCAGAAAACATCGTCCTGCAGCAAGGAGAACAGAGGGTGAGTCTCCCTCCTGGCACCAAAGCCCCGAGATGCTCTGGTAGAGTAGCAGCACACTTGACGTGTCTTTATATATTTGTGTTTCCTTTCATGAAGCACTGCCTCTTTGGTAGTGCTTTTTGTCGATTGAGGCAAGTTTGAATGGCTTTCATTGTTAAAAGCCCAAGTTGCAGGATTCTGATAAGGGCAGTGTTTATCTTCCAACCTTCATCTCCCCTTCTGCATCCCCCCCCCAACTCTTGGGACTGGAGTTTCTTGGAAACAGACTTTTTGTTTTCCATTTATTTCAGAGTCCTAACATTTTTAAAATCAGTAGACTTTTTAAAAAAAGAGCTGTTTTAGATTTGTTTAAAAATTGACCAGCAAGTCAGCATTCCTGTCTGCTCCATCTCATTCCCTTCCTTCCTGCAGCCTTTTCCCCTAAGCTACTTCAGGTACTAACATCTTGTCTTGGTGCGATACTCTTCTTACAATTGATGCCCCAACAATGATGTGGGGTTATACAACTGATGATCCAATAATGATGTGCTGTTATTATTAACTAAAGTCCTTCATTGACATTAGAGTCTACTCTTTGTACAGGTCTACGGGTTTTGACAAATGTATACTACTGTGTGCATGCCATTACCAGATCATGTGTAGTAGCTTTACTACCCTCTGCCCACCTCCAAATCCCTGGCAACCATTGGATTTTTACTATCGTTTTGCCCTTTCCAAACTTTGTAGCTTTTTCAGATGGGCTTCTTTCCCTTAGCAATCTGTGTTTGATTTTCTTCCTTCTTGCTTTGTAGCATGATAACACATTTCCTTGTATTGCCAAATAGTACTATGTAATACGGATGTTTGTTTATCCACTCCAGAGCCTCAGCTTCTCATGCTAAAAGGTTACTGGGTATCTTGGCTCTAGATGTGGCTGAGAAGAGGCCTTTTGGGCTGGCTCTGTCCACCTGGCAGATCCCATTAACTGAGCACGTCTTCAGTGGCTTCTCTAGTTGGGTGTGGTGCTAACACCCTCATCAGCTGGCTCTGTGGTCTTTAACTTTGTTGTTTGTTCAGCTGAGCAGAGTGTAGTAACTCAACTCATGGGGCACTAATCCCTTCTGTCACCATTCTAGGCCTGACTGTGAGGATTACTCGACTCACCTTTGTTCATGCTCATTCTTGCCAGTAGTTCAAAGATTTGAGTTCTAAAGGTGTTTACTATGAAGGGATTAGCCTAGTGTTTTGTGTTACAAAATCCAGGTTAACCAGTCTTGAGGGTTGATTCATGATCTGTGAGTTTTGGGCTTCCTCTCATTATTGGTAGCAAAACACTTGTCTAGCAATTTTAGTGGGTTTGGGTTTTATTTTTGCCCTAAATTAATTTTCTGTCATAATGAAGAAGAAGAATTGATGCCTTTGAGTTGTGGTGCTGGAGAAGAGTATTGAACATACTGTGGACTGACAGCAGAACAAACATGTCTGTCCTAGAGACGGTGAGACCAGATCACTCCTTGGAGGCAAGGATTTTTAAACTCCCATCTCACATACTTTGGGCATGTTGCCAGAAGGGACCAGTCTTTGGAGAAGACAAAAGGATAGTATAACTGAACACAGAACAGTATGCCTGGAACCTAGCAAAGAGGAAAAGAAGAGGTTGAGATTACTTCTTCTCAATATGATTTGACGGCTTTTGGGAACTCAGGATGTTTTCTCACCTAGGAATTCAGAAATATCCTTTGCTTCAACAGCAAACAGAATACTTGGAGAAGCATCGCATATTTTATAACTCTTAAATCTTCTCCCCTACCTTTTTGTTTTCCAGTTAATACACAAAATCATTGACCTTGGATATGCTAAAGAGCTGGATCAGGGCAGTCTTTGTACTTCCTTTGTTGGGACCCTGCAGTATCTGGTAAGAAATGGGATTTACATGGTTACTTATTAGTTTCTAATGCCTGTGTTTGTGGTATTCCTCTTTCCTGCAGTCTGGCATCTCAATCTTGCCAGCTGTATGTATACAAATTGCTGCATGCACTCAGACCCATCATCATCTCTTTTGACTGGAAGACTATCGTCATCTTCTCTGATATCAGATGGACTAGCATGCTCTTAACAGAATTCTGTAATCTTTCTGTGTTTCAGGATTACACCTGAAAGTAAAAATAGAGACTAAATCTTCAGAAGATTTAGGAGGAGGCTGAGCTGAGGCCCCGCCCAACTCTTCTCTTTCTTTACATAAGTTGTAGTCTGAATATTGGAGTTCTGCTTGAATTATTAATGGGAGAAATAATGTGATTGGGTGCAGTCAGTCTCTGAGGTGGGCATTGTATCAGGAGCTGGTGACACAGTAGTAGAATTTTGTAGCTAAGCAAGAAAGTATGTATTACTCCAATTCTCATGTAACTAGCTAAGAAACTAGTGTAACAGTGCAATGGTCTAACAGTGAGAAATGCAGGGTGTCCTAAGAATGTAAGAGGCTCTAACTAGTCTGGGACCTGAAGTATGAGCAGGTGTAAGGGTCAAGCAGGTGAAAAGGTGGTGGGATCAAGGATATAATGGAGTAGAGGAAATCCCAGGCAAAAGGATAGTGCAACTGAAAATAGAGTTATTACTGGAACCTAGCGAATAGAAACAAGAGAGTATCTTGAGTTAATGCTAAAGAGAGAATTGTACACAGAAGGAGAAATTCCAAGATGGGACATTTTTTGTTATTGAAAACAGAAAAGAATGATGTGGAAAGTGTTTAATAATAATTTTTCTTGGGGAAATAATGAGGTCACAGAGTTTGATGAGTGGAGGGAGAGGACGGAAAGAAAACTCCCAACAGTGTTCATGAATAAAACAAAATGTAAACAAATTATTGTATGCAAACCAATAAAATTTTTTTAAAAAAGAATATTTCTTAAAGTGCTTAGAAGATATGTTAAAAGATAATTGATTAAATACAGATGGTAAGAACCAATAACATTTTGATCAAATCCAAGAATTAGTTTTGCCAAAAAAAAAAAGAACAAAAGTTGAAGGACATTGACTAGCTAAGTGTAAATATCCCATTTCATTTTTGTTGTTGTTGTGTCCTGTAGAATTGGAACCCATCCAGAGTTAACAATCCAGTGGGTTTTCAGAGGCAGTCATTGCATGGGAGAAGATTGCCCATCCTTATATGTAGTTCTTAATTTTTTTTTTAAAAAAGTTAGATGTGTTTTTGAGTGCATTAATGTTTCCTGCTTATTATGTATAAGATGACCTAGGACAATGGGCATCATCAGCTTATCAGTTACACTGTGAACAAGAGGTTTCAGAGGGTGGTGACCTATGGAGGCTGGCTGAGATTTAGGGCCATTTACCCATAAAATGTGTAAGTCCTTTGAGCTGATAAGCATCCCAAAGGATGCTCAGTTGTCAGGATTCTGTGCTGTGATCAGATTGCCGGGTCAGAGTGTTCACTCACATGAAATAAAACCCCTGTCCCTAACCAGCCGCAAAATTGGCCTGACCATCCCAAAACTTCTTGTAGTTTGAACTCCCTGACCTTTCCATCTGTCACATGTCCAGCTAAACCATGTGCATCCCTGTCTCCATACCTTTGCTCATGGTGGTCTTCTCTAGAAGCCCTCCTTCTGAGGCTGTTTCTGCCCCTCGGTGCTTTGTACCCTCTTTTATCTTCTTGGCACTTTCTGCTTTGGCAGGAGTCATATATCTGGCTCTCTCCTGCCTAATTGTAAGCCCCATCCATTGTATGACCTCGCATCACTTGTTCAGGCAACTTGGTTAGTGTGTTTGTAGTATTTAATGTCTGTTCATTTGGTGTGCACAACCTCTTATTTTCTTTTGGTGTGTATAGTGTATCTCATACTTCCTCATCTATACATAGCACCTACAGTTGTGCAGAATTAAGTTTTCAATAAGTGCTTGAAAATACTGCAGCCTTCACTTCTAGAGTAATCTTAAAGCAGAGAAGGATAGATGACCTGCTCTGGTCTGCCAAAAAGTAGCCATTACGGGTCCTGACTCCTTGACCTTGATAACAGATTTCATGAGAGAACAATGAAGGGGAAAACTAAAAAGCACCATCTGGTCATCTCTTCACCCTTGAGTATGAAGATGCCATTGCCCGCCAGGGAGGGCGCTGGGAGTATGTGGGGAACAATTTGAAGGCCAGGTGTCCCTTCCTGGCGGGCTCATCGGAAGAAGGTGCAGCTCAGGTGTGTTCCTGGTGATACACCATTGCAGGCCCCAGAGCTGCTGGAGCAGCAGAAGTACACGGTGACGGTGGACTATTGGAGCTTCGGCACCCTGGCTTTTGAGTGCATTACGGGCTTCCGGCCTTTCCTCCCCAACTGGCAGCCTGTGCAATGGTGAGTGAGACCAGGGCCCACTGCCCAGGTGGGAGGTATCCAGATGAAGGTGTGTGCCCCTCTGCTTCCCTCGGATTTCTTCACTTGTCCCCTGTTCACAGGCAGGCTGGAGAGGTGTTTCCTCTGAGAGGAAAGCCTAGCATGTGGATGGGTGATTAGAGGGCCAAAAACCTGGAAAAATAGTGATTGTTCAATATTAAGTTGGATTTTTACACGCTTGGCATCTTTAGTATATTACGGAAATTATATTTGCTGTGTCCAGGTATAGTAATAAAACAATACATTTATGGACTGTTATTTCTCTATGTACAGTAGCTCTTGGTAGCACAGAGGTTAAAATGCTTGGCAGTCTAAAGTGCTTGAAAGTTGGCTGTTTTCAGAACCCTCCAGCTTCACTCCAGTAGAAAGATCGGGAAGTTGAGTTCCTTAAAGATTTATAGCCTTGGTAGCCCTCAGGGGAGGTTCTGCAGTGGGTTGGGTTGGGTTTTGATGCATTCATTGTGTTGAGTATGATATATGAACAAATAGAAATAAAATATTTATTCATAGGACAAATGAGAGACTTATGTGGAAATCTACTATTATAAATTTACTACATAAGAAAAATAAATTTTTGCTTTAGAAACATAAGAAAGTGGTTTAGAATGTATAGTAAGTAATAGTAAAAATATTTTTTTCTATATTTTATTAATTTTCATAAGCATTTACAGAGATTTTGGGTTTCCATTCATTCATTGTTGCACTATTCTCTCTACCCTCCTCCCAGTTTGTTCTTGTCCAAATGCCACAGTGCTTGTCAAAGCCAGTTCTGATTAATCTTCTTTGTCAGTGTGTCCTTTGCCATTCCCTATCACTCCTCCCTGAGAGAGACTTCACCCTGAGTCATAAGGAAAAGGGGATGGCGTATTCTCTTAGCTACTTCCTGCTGAAAAGGGACGCTGTGGGTTTCAGGGTGAAGATCTTCTCTCACTACTCTAAAGGGCCCCTTTGGCAGTAGGAAACACATAGACTATTATGGAGATTGATTTTGGAATTTAGATGCACTCTTATTGATTGTGCTTGGCCGTACGTGTTCATATCCTTGAAGATGTATCATGGGGGTGTTGCAACCTAGAAGACACAAATTTGACTAACAAGTTATAAGTACATGAGTCCAGAAATTATGGAAAAGTAAAAGAAAAGATTCTTTCATTGTTTTACAAACCCTCCCCCAGGTCCCCTCCACCATGTAGCCCTTGCTCTAGTCTCCTGTGATGACAGAAATACCTAGTTATATATCTCTTTTAAACAGTTTTCTCCCTCCTCTGTTTCAGTGCAGTATACATTATTGAACCCATCTTACTCAGTCTCTCCCCAACCCCAAGGACAGTCCCATTCTACAACAGTGGCATCATGTAATATTTGTTCTTTTGTGACTGGGATATTTCACTCAGCATAATGTTCTCCAGAGTCAACCATTTTGTTTTACTATTTGTAAAAATAGTAAAAATATTTTTAAATTAAAAAAATATAGAAATAGAACAATGAACAAATGTTTTCTACTCAGATCTTTGATATCTGAGCTAGATTATGGTGGTGCTAGCTGTGACGGCATTAACTCTGCAGTAGCTCTGAGGAGTAGGCTTGGATACCCTGACTTACAGCAGAAGCTGAGGTGTTAAAGACGGTTGCTCATGGTCAGTCTCTGAGAAGGTGGGATCTGGAGTCATACTGAAATGCGGAAACTCAGACTCATTGCTGTTGAGTCAGAACCACCTCATAGCTGACCCTCCAGTGAATTTTCCAGAGGCTGCAAACTGTTCAGAAGGTGTTTGCCTAGCTTTCTCTCAAGGAGCAGTGGTGGATTTGTACCACCAACCTGTGGGTAGGCAGCACAACTTCTTATCCTCTAGGTCAACAAAGATAAAATCTGTTCAAATCTAAAAGCCTTTACCTCTTCAGATACCAGAACACAACCTCTCATTGGATTTCTATGTATAAAAGTAACATTCTAATTTTTAACCCATTGCCACAAATGACGGCAAATGTATTTCTAAGCACGGTCATCAATTTAAAAGTTTGCGGCAATGTGTTAATTATAAAAGCAAAAGTTAAAGTTTAATTTACAAATATAGTATGTTGTTGTTGTTATGTGCCATCAAATCAATTATGATTAATAGCAACCCTATGAACCTTGGCTTTGAACTTTGCCCTATCTGGAGCAAACCTCATGGTCTCTGACGCTTGACCCCAATACCACAGTCACCATGTCAGTCCATGTCATCTGGGGTCTTCTTCTCCTGCAAAGACTCTGTACCCTTCAAAGCATAGTGTCCTTCTCTAAGAACTGGTCCCTCCTGGCAACATGGCCAAAGTGTGTGAGATAGAATTTCAAAATCCTTGCCTCCAAGAAGCAGTGTGGTTTCACCCTCTCAGCAGAAACTTTGGCAGTCCATGGTATATTCAAGACTTCTCCCGCACCAAAACAAAAGGCGTCATTTCTTCTCCTGTCATCCTTATTCATTGTCCAGCTCTCCAATGCATAACAAGCAATTGAGAAGACCATGGCCTGGACCAGGCACACCTTAGTCCCTAGACTGACACTGTTGCTTTTTGGCACTTTGGAGAGGTCCCTGACAGCAGATTTTCCCAAAGCAACTTGTTTTTTATTTCCTGACTGCTGGTGCCAAGATTCAGTCAAGATGTAATTGTTAACAACCTCAATCTCTTCTCTATCACTGTCATGTCTGTAAAACCCTATGACTTCGTTGTTGTTGTATTCCATTGAACCAGAACCAGTCCATAGCTGACCCTCCAACAGATTTTCTGAAGCAGTAAATCACACAGTCACAAAAAGAGATGGCCCATCTTTCTCTGGCAGAGCAGCTGTTGGATTTGAACCACATGCTTTTGGGTTGACAGCACAGCTTTTTACCACTAAGCCACTAGAATTCTGTTTATTAAAGAATTTTTTTTTTAATCCCATAGGAGATTATGTTTAACTGTTTTTTAAAAAATATTGTATATTCTTTAAACCTGCTAGAGGGTCCCATTGATTTGGATCTGACTCTACAGTAATGAATTGTAGGTTTTAAAAAATATTTCTGGAAATAATGGAACCATTTATTTTTTTCAAAAGACAAATGTTTGTATAAGGAGAAAAAAATTCTTTAAAACAGTGAGGTATCGTCTTTGAAATCAGTAAAGTCAAGAAGAGTAGTCTTATGTAATGACAGTCCAGTTCAATCAACACTTGTACCCAGACATTAGTAATGCAGAGAAATATGAGGCAATAGCCTTACCCTTGAGGTGGCTTGTGAAATGGCAAAATTATGCCCTCCTGTGGTGACTTTAAACCAAGCAAGGCTCATTAAGCTACATTAAAACAAAACAAAAAAAAACAAACACCCAGACCTGTTGCAGTCAAGTTGACTCCAACACATAGCAACTCTAACTACATGTTTGTTTGTTGTTATCTACTTCAGGTTGGAACCAATTCATAGCTGACTCTTCAGTGAGTTTTCATAGTCTGTAAATCACATGGGAAGAGGTTACCTTACGTTTCTCCCTTGGAGCAACTGGAGGTGTATTCCAATCACCTCCTGTACCGGTCTTGAATATTAAGAGTTTGCTCATTAACATGTAGTTACATCTCTTAGTGTATCCATCATTTAAAAAATAGCTCAAAAGTCCTTCCTACCTTTAGGTATCCAGAGAATTGTCATTTTTTATTTAAATGCCAAACTGTTTAGAACAAGGCAAGTTAAAAATAGTTGAAACTTAAAAAACCAGCAGTGTGTGAAACCAATGGCTTAGTGTTTTTGTAGTCAGTCTGTTTTCCACAGAATCTGCTTCCTAGAACCTCCCTCTTCGCTGCTAGAAAGTCTGTTGATCACTTGCAAACAAGCTTCCATGAAACCCAATACAGAGATGCTTTGTAGACTAGTTTGCCTGTCTCATCTGCTTTTTAATATTGTAAAGAAGCTTGCTTTCCTTCCCTCTATCTAATTGCAGAATTCAGGAAGATAGTACTTTCAGGTGAAATGCAGTTTGGTCTTTAAAAACCCATCATAAAGATAACTTGAAATATATTTTAGGATTAGTCTAAGCATTAAGTGTTTTATTTAATATTACTTTTTAAAAATAATCTTCCATGCACAAACCGAGTTTTCTGTGGACGATCATCCAGCTTGTAACAGTGACAGTGTCTACCAGCGCTGTAAACCATGGCCACCCACCAGCTCTCCTGGATTTCTCGTGTGCCGATGGGCATGCCGCTCCATGACAGTAAGAAGTATCTAAGGCTAAAGCATTTGTCGATTGACTTTTTCAAGTGTCTTTGGAGAAAATGTATTTGGCCATTCAGACACAGTAGAACCCCAGACTTAAGAGTTGGGTTAAGCTCTGCCATGCTCTAGTTGTGTTTGTGGGCAAATTACCTCATCTTGAGTTCCTTAAGAGACTAAACTTCGGTTCGAATCCACCAGATGCTCTGCTGGAGAAGGAGGAACAATCTCCTCCTATACCAGTCAGATCTGATTTGATGGTACACACACACACACACACACACACACACAAAAAGTAAGGAAATAAATTTAAAAAAAAATTTAAAAAGACTAAACTTAATGCCTACTATGTAGAAATAATAATGCAAATAAATGGATATTAGGCACAAAAGACAATATTATAACGAAAGTCTTTTGTTATCATTACATTTTGTTAGCGTTACTCAAATGTAAGTTACTATCCTTGTCATTAGGGAACTCTGGGGGCCTAATGGATAAAGAGTTGCATTTCCACCTCCAAGGCAGGTAGTTTCCTCCACCAGTGGCTCCTCAGGAGAGAGGTGGGCAGTCTCCTCCCATGTAAATTACAACCTCTAAGAATTTGCTTTAGGGTCAGCAGTTAGTCAGTTCCAACTCAATAACAATGAGTTTAAAGTGGGTCTTTTTCATCCTTGTCATCAAGATTTGAAACTGATAGGTTTGGGGGGGAAATTTTTTTTTCTTTACATACAATTTCAGGTGCTTCAAGAAGTTTACCTAGTTGGAACATGTAGATGTTCATCTATCTTTATATTTGTTGTTGTAGGTATTGGGTACAGTGGAGTTGATTTTGACTCGTGGTGACCTTATGTGACAGTAGGATTCCCCATATGGTTTTCAGTGCTGTAATCTTTATGGGAGCAGATTTCTAAGTCTACTCTCCCACATCATTAGAGAAAAGTCCTTTATATATTTAGTATAAATGTAATATGTAATTTTGGCTTGCAAGTCTTCATTTTCTCCTCTTATCAAAAGACAGGCATTCTATGTGGAATATAAAGCTAACAAAAACCTAATAATGAAATACAAAGTCACCAGTACAGTCTGCAAAACTTTGTGTAAAAGATGGTTAATGATGGTACCAAACACTATTCAGAATCTTAGTCAAGCAGTATTGACCTTTCTCAAACTCAAAAAGAAACAGTCCTATTAGGATGTTAGAAAATAAATGATAATTATTTCAGAATATGAAATGCTGATTTTTTTCTTAGTCTTTGTTATTTTTTCCTCTTCAAAATCCATTCATTCTGGTTCTAAAAGGAAAAAAAAATAAAGGCTAAGGTGTGTCTGAATGGGGAAAAAATCCATTCATTCTGGCTCTATGAACACTTCTTTGTGATATATGAGCAGAAATGCTGATCTTCATATTGCCTCCTGTGCAGTTGTAAAGTACTACATTGTAAATGTAAAATCAATGTCCACCACTAAGTGAGTCAAGTGTTCTGATGAAGATTCTTAAACACAGGAAGGTAGTCATTCTTATTTCTGTTTTACAGGCATTCCAGAGTCCGGCAGAAGAGTGAGATGGACATAGTTGTCAGTGAAGACTTGAGTGGAGCAGTCAAGTTTTCCAGCTCTTTACCCTACCCCAATAATCTTAATAGGTAAGACACAATGGCATTATGTCCTCCTGACTTTTCTCCCTTTTATAATAATAAAAAGGTCAATGATATGCAATATATCTTCAAACAAACGATAGGCGTCTTGTAAGCATTTAACATAATTCATTTCAGTCTTAAGCTTAGACTGGATTGCAGTTCCTCATACCCATCTCCATCTAGAAATCCTTTTTTTTCCAAACTTACATTGTCCTGTTTTCTAATCCTTCCTTTGGTAAACTTAAATTACCATTTATCTGTATCATTTATTAACCTTCATAGTTTCTACTTTATATTTGAAAAAGAACATGAAGTTTTACAAAGAGTTTTTCTCTTCTTTTTGAGGGTAAGAAATCAAACTTTATTTCGCTTTGCACATCTGACCTGGCTGTGTTATGGTCAACAAATACACCTTTGTAGTATGATTGGATGACCTTACAATTTAGTTGTGGAGCCAGCATACAGACAAATAATACCAGAATCAGATACTAGAAAAGAAAGCTACAAATTAATCACCCACAGTTGACTAGCACAAGGCATAATCACTATGAATACTTAAAGGAAGGGAAGAAAAGTTATTTGACCTTGAGTTGTATAGTATTACTATTTGAATGGAGATGTCTTGAAAGGAAAGATGTACGGGACAGGAAGAATGTAGATTAATGAAGAAGGGGGAAGAACGTTCAAAGGCAAAAGATTGGTTTGAGCAACAGCATATTTGAAATAGTGAGTAACAATATTGGCCTGAATAAAGGTTTGATGGAGGAGTGGTGAGAGGTACATCTGGGGGACAGGCTGTGGAGGACCTTGAAGCCAGGGTAAGGGGTTTAAACTTGGCTGTTAGGCCCACTGAGAGCATTTGAGGCAGCAGCTAAAAATCAGGCTGACAGCCTGGAGTCTAGTCCATGAGCGGGGATGACTTAGCAGGAGGGTGGAACATATAATGACCACCTAAAAAGGTGATCATATAGTCATTTTGTTATGCAGCAAGTTAGAGATCAATCTGCTGACCCCAGTGGTTGAGAAATCTTGGACTTGGGAGCTACTTCTGCAGGTCCAAGAATGAGATGATAAGCACCTAAGTAATTTGGGGAAAATATAGGTATAGGCAGTCTCTTGAGTATGAACATACAACTTAAGTACAAGGCATGGTTATGAGCCATTCCCCATAAAAACTATTATATTGAAAATTCAAGATACATACAGTGGATTTGAATTATAAGCTAGTGCTACTTTGCAACACACCTGAAAACATTATCAGAAAGGTTCAATATGTTCCATGTACTGTCATTTGATTACCTGACATGGCTATGGACAGTGCCTCACTGTTGCAACTTATGTATGAATTTGATTTAAAGACAGACTTAAGAAGAGAGCTCATAGTAGGCTGGGACTGCCTTAATTTAACTTTTTTTCTTTCCAGTAGGCCCATTTTTTCCAGTCATTTATTGTCTTCCATCTATATGGTAGGAAGGTCACACTTATACGTTCCCACATTAAGGCAACCTGCGATTGGCATTTTGATGTGTCCCACTAGCCTCTGTTCCTCTGCTTCTTCCTGGCACAGTGAACTGGCCCAGCGACTAGAGAAGTGGCTGCAGTTGATGTTAATGTGGCACCCCCGACAGAGAGGCACAGATCCAGTGTATGGGCCCAATGGCTGCTTCAAGGCCCTGGACGACATCTTAAACTTGAAGGTGATCATGTTAACCTTGAAGCTACAAGGTCAGGTCTCAAGAGAGAAACAAAATACTCTTATGAGAAAGAAAGTCACAGGAAGGCAAATCAGATCCAGATGACCTCAACTCATTGCTGTTGAGTAGGAACCAACTCATAGCTGAGCCTCCCCAGCTGCTGTACAGAGACTGTAAATTGCATGGGAGATTTCCTGTCTTTCTCCTTTAGAGCAGCAGATGGATTTAAACTGTCTTTAAGTTCACAGCACAACTCCTTGCCCAGTAGGCCACCAAAGCTCCCTGTCTGACCTAGAGGGGACATGAGGGCCTCTTTCTATGTATGTAAGAAGATGACAGCACAGCAGTGCTCATTGACATTGATCTGTAGGTTTGTAACTATGGATAAACAGGAATCTTGAAAAAATAATATGTGAGCCATAGCATCCATTTCCCTTCCTAAATTCTTTGCTTTGTGTGGGGTGGGTAAATGTTGAGAGTAGGATAGGGCCTAGGCAAACACAGGGGCATTTCTGTTGTTGTGTCTGTATGGTTAATCTTGACTCCTAGAGACAGTATAGGGCAGAGTAAAGTGGCACATGGGATTTCCAAAGTGGTGTTCTTGTTGGGAGCATATCTCTAGGTCTTCTTCTCTGAGGATCTATCTGATAGTGGCTTTGAACCACTGACCTTTTGGTTAGCAGACAGATGTGTGTTATTCCACTAGTGCCCAACGACAGATTTTTTTTCCCCAGTAACACTTGGCTTGTGTTGCAGCTGGTTCATATCTTGAACATGGTCACAGGCACCATTCATACTTACCCAGTGACAGAAGATGAGAGTCTGCAGAGCTTGAAGGCTAGAATCCAGCAGGACACAGGGATCCCCGAAGAGGACCAGGAGCTGCTGCAGGAAGCGGGTCTGGCATTGATCCCTGACAAGCCTGCAACACAGTGCATTTCAGACTGCAAGGTGAGCCCCTGGCTTCTTGCAAACGGCAATACATTTCCCCTGGTTTTCTTCCAAGGGAACTGATCATTCGTTCAGATTTCAACCCTGTTTTATGAAGCAGTCATTCAATTATACCATGCAATAACATCTTTGATTTTAAAGCTGGAATTGAGGCCCCTTTTGTGGTCTAATAGGATACATTAATCACTACCTGCTGCACTTGTTACTTCCAGGTCACTTAGTGTGCCTTTCTTTGCCTTTGTTGCCAAATTATGCTTTATGCTTTGGAATCAATCAAAATTATTCATACTGTATCTTTTTTGTATAGTATGGTGTTAAGCAACCAAAGCAATATAAGACATGTCCCTACTCAGAGATAGTTTATAAATTGTGAGGTAACGTTAACATAACAAAACAATCATTGAGTAAGGAAATAGCACAGTGAACTTTTAAATTACATCAAGACAATCATAGAATAATATGAGATGTATATAATAGCTTTAAATTAAGTTATGTTTTCAAATAATGAAGAAGACCTCATTACACAATGGTCAACCACTCAGCTTATAACCAGATGGTTGGAGGTTCAAGCTCACCAGCCTCTCCTCAGAAGGAAGGTAACAGCACTGTATTTCTGTGAAGATTACAGCCTTGGAAACTGTTTGATGCAATTCAGCCCTATTTTATGGACACTGAGTCAGAACTGATTCAATGACAGCAGATTTTGATTCAAGTTAACAAGTGTTGTGTTGTGGTGAGTCTGAACCAACCCATAGCTGACCCTCCAGCAGGTTTTCAGAAGCACTAAATCACCATCTTTCTTGCAATAATAATAAACAGTAGTGAAGGAAAAAGAGTAATGGGTCAGCTGAGGCCATTAAGAAATGCTTCATAGGCGCTTAGTATTTATTAGCCAAAGATTGTGTTGTCAGGGAAGAGTCAGTAATGCTCTGAAATCTCTTCATTATGCGTTGGGAAAAGGAAGGACTGGATCAGTGTCATCTCATTTTGTTCTTGTCCCTTTGCAGCTCAATGAGGGCCGCACACTGGACATGGACCTTGTTTTCCTGTTTGACAACAGTAAACTCACCTATGAGACGCAGATCTCCCCTCGGCCTCAACCTGAAAGTGTCAGCTGTATCCGTAAGGACATCACTGAGCTTCACACATGTGACCGATCACAATGCTGGGACCAGGCAGAAGGGAAAGAGAACTGCCTTGGAGGGAGGGAGGATCCACATCAGGGAAATGAGTTTGCACTGCTCTCAGGGCAGCCTAGGAAAGGCATGACGCTGTTGTTAGGTGCCATCACGTTGACTAAAGCTCATATCCACCTTATGAGCAGCAGGTCTGCTTCTGCCCTATTAGCGCCATCCCCACCATCTCTGATGTGCCTGAGCCCGTAGTTACAGCACTGTGTCAGCCCATCCTGTTGAGATTCTTCCTCCTTCCATTGACCCTCCACCTTTTCTAACATCATGTCCTTTTCCAAGGACTGACCCCTCCTAACAACAGGCCCAAAGTAGCCTAGCCAAAAAAGCAAATGAAATCTTCAATTTCAACCTTGTAAGTAGGGCTTGAAACAGAACAGACGGTGCTGTCCCTGAACTGGAGTAATTTGACTATTTTGGTTTTTAAAAATCTTTGATAATTATAAAATGCATATAATAAAAAAGAGCAAGCAATACAAAAGAGTACACAATGAGAAATATCTGTACTCTCGCAGATTCCCCAGTCAGTGAGCGTTTCTTCCAGGGACATGTCTGTTTTTAAATTCTTGTGTCACCTTCCAGAAGTATTCTTTGGACTTATAAACATCCTTGGAGAGGGTTGTCATGCTTGGCAGGATAGAGGGACAGCACAAAAGAGGAAGACCGTGGATGAGATGGATTGATTCAGTGACTGGGGTAATGGGAGTAGGTATGTCAGAGACAGTAAGATTAACACAGGCTAGAGCAGGTTTTAGGGCTGTTGTACATAGGGTCGCTATGAGTCGCAAGTGACTTGACAGTACATAACTACAAGCAAATGCTTAGTATTCCTTCTAGAGATTTATATAGAATATATAGTATTGTTGTTATGTACCATCAAGTCAGAACTGACTCATAGCTGACCCTCCAGCAGGTTTTCAGAGGCAGCTGAGTCACAATGGAAGAGATTGCCTATCTTTTTCTTGTGGAGCCACTGGTGGATTTGAATTGCGTGTCTTAGTATTTATGATGTTTACTGTTTTGTGCTGCCTGTTCATTTTACCATATATACCCACTCTTCACTTATCTATGTGGATTGGTTCTAAAGACCAAGTCATTATGCAAATATAGAGTATCGCCCATCATTACATAACTGCCACATTTTATCATTTCATAACTGCTGGACCACTGAGATCGTGGCCCAGGCTCGTTGACATGCAGCCTAAACCATCACAGCTGGCACTGACATGCTCTCAGCACCTTGACTTTGTTCCTGCCAGATGTATGTCATTAATGTGCAAATTAGAGAATAGATTTTTTTTAACTTTTGTTGTAAATGTATCAAGATTGTCAGTAAATGAGGAGTAGGTATGTTTTGGAGATTCCTCTCATTGATATATATGGAGTGGCCTCATTTTCTTTTTAAATATTCTTCTGTAAGGAGCCCTGTTGGAATAGTGGGTTACATACTGAGTTGCCAACCAAGAGCTCCTTGGAAGAAAGATAAAAAATCTCTTCCTATAAAAATGTATAATCTTGGAAAACTGATGGTATGTCACTGTGAGTCAAAAAAGACTCCACAGCAGTGAGCTTGGTTTGAAATATTAGTGTATGGGTGTCAGATGGTCACTTTAATATGCCACTCACTTCTCCCTCCATACACACCTTAGAATAAACAGGTTGAGATTCTAAAGTCTTAACAACCATCAGCTTATTGTTTAATAATTTCCTGTAAAAATGCAGGTTGAGCCTGCATTTTTATAAAAATTAATATGGCTGTGTACTTTTGGAACATAAGAGGATTTGTAGAAGATACATGGGGCTGTGTACCTGTAGGATCTTCACGTACATAGATCTTACCTAATGAAGTGGTGTTTATCTTAACAAATGAACAGCCATTGGGGTTTGTCTGGTATATGCATGTGCCATAATGGAGTATAAAAAAAATATGAGAAAAAAATTACCAAATGTATGAGAGAGTTTTCATGGGTTAGCCAATAATAATTACATGATTTTTTAAAATATATTTTTTATAAATGGCAGGACATAGTAAGTGTAGGAGAGTTATTCTCCAAATACTTTATATTACTCTCTTGTTTGTTTGTTTCCAGTTCAAGAGCCCAAACGGAATCTCTCTTTCTTCCACCTGAGGAAAGTCTGGGGCCAGGTCTGGCACAGCATCCAAACCCTGAAGGAAGATTGCAACCGCTTGCAGCAGGGACAGCGAGCTGCCATGTATAGTGCCAAGCACTCTTTTTAAACTTAATTTCTTTAAAATTGCTTAGTGGGTTCCGCCACAAGGAAGTGCCTGAGCCAGGAGCTTGGAAACCACTATTATAAAAGACAAGAGGGAGACACTGGTTTGGAACGGTGGGAGATGGGCAGGAGATGTTTGGGCCGGCTGCACTGAGGGAGGTCCTTTAAGAACTGACCGAGATGAGTGTGGTTAGCACATGAGGGAAGAGTGCAGAACAGAGGGTGGGCTGGCTGAGCCAAGGAGAGAGATGAAATGTGGCAAGGCTCAAAACAATTTGGGTTAGCAAAACTCATCTCATTATTATGCTGGAGACCTACCTACTCTTTTCCCAGCTTATGACTGAAACACCCACTCCCCCCTACACACACACCCCAAAATACCCACCAAAACAGAACCCAAACTCAGGGTAATAGAGTTGGAACCAACTCATCATTGACCCTCCAGCAGGTTTTCAGAGGCTGTAGATCTCATGGGAGGAGACTGCCTATCTTTCTCTTGAGGGGCTGCTGGTGGATTTGAACCACCAGAGAGGAACCACCTTTGGGTTAGCAATGGTGCTTAATTCCAGTTTTGGCACAGAACCTAATACATTGCTATAGGAAAGGAAATCATATCCTTGTGGTTATACTTAAAAACCACTGTTATAGTTATTTATTATTGCAGGAACCTATAGTTGGTGTGTGAATGGGTTTCGTTGTTGTATGGAGCCTTAGCTCTCAGCACCTAACCAAGCTGGGCAATTTGAACCTATGAAATGCTTCCTGGGAGAACTATGTGGCAATCTTCCGTAAAGATTTACAGGCTTGGAAACTATGGGGCAGTTTTACTCTGTTGTATAGGGTCACCATGAGTCAACAGCAATGGGCTTGGTTTGGGTTTCATTTTGTTGTTGTATGGGAAATAGTATTTAGATCCCCAGAATGCTCCAAAGTTCTGTTTATTATGGTTCCTTCAGGATGAACCTCCTCAGGAATAACAGCTGCCTCTCTAAGATGAAGAATTCCATGGCTTCCATGTCACAGCAGCTCAAGGCCAAGTTAGATTTCTTTAAAACCAGCGTCCAGATTGACCTGGAAAAGTATAGTGAGCAAACCGAGTTTGGAATCAGTGAGTGTCACTCTTTACAATGTGTTTGAAGAGGTCGTTGCTTGTTCTTTTTTTTTTTTTCTCCATCTCTTCTGTTTTCCTCTTTCCTCTTTTAATCTAGTTGTTTGGTTTTGCTTTGATTTTTGTGGTATTTTGTTTTTCATTTTATTTTCCATTTTTTTTTCCAGCATCAGATAAATTGCTGCTGGCCTGGAGGGAAATGGAACAGGCCGTGGAGCTCTGCGGGCGGGTAGGAGACTAATTTTAGATTTATATACTGACTGAAGGGGTGAGGCTTCTTACCACCATTTTCCACACTCTCACCAAAACATGGGTAGGCCTTGCATGTCAGAATCAGGTTTTCCTCCTCATGCTGTTTGACCTTGACTAGGTTTGCTAGGAAGCAAAGAGTGCATTCAGTAAAGGGGGCTCCATTGTGGCCCAATTTAGTAATTACTCAGAGGGACAGAGAAGTTCAGATTTACATAAGGAGCAAAATGGAAGTGCCCCCAGGGGGAAGCCTAGCCCCTTTCCTAGAAAGGGCTTTAGACTATAAGCTCTACTTCTTGGCAGAGGTTTCCACTTGCCTTTGTTAGGAGGTGAAAAAGAAGCAGATCCATTGTGAGAGTGGCTGAGTCTGACTTCTGCCTGTTTCATAAAGGGGAACTGTCTTCATCAGTAATAACCATAGAAGCAAATAGATAGCTGCTGTGTCAGACACCCCCACCCCCATGGTCCTGCACATTGTGGACTCACGGACTTTACCCCCAGTTGTGGTACCAAGAGTTAGGTTTATTAGGAAACTAGGTTGGAGAGTGGGAGAGGCAAAAAATATCTCACAATAGAAGTCCAGGTTTTAGTTCAGCAGTCCCAAGTCAGATTAATAGCAAAATACAATTGCTTAATTAGTAAAAGTCCTAGTTTCAGTTCATCAACACAAATTCAAGAATCCTCTAGTTTCCTTAATCATACAGCAACATTTGCCTCAGAGTAGTTATAAGTCAGCTTCTCCTTCAGGCATCTGACAAAAACAGCAAAACCTTTGACTGTGGCCAGCACAAATGCGTGAAGAATCAGGTCACTCCTTGCCACAGTTTCTCCACAGCAATGCCACAGTCTCTCCATCACAAGAGTCTCGCTCTCACCAGGGTCAGGGTGTGTCGGTCTCTGTCTCTCTCTCTCTCTCGTTTGTCTGTCTCTCTCATCCTACTCCCACAGCTGTTGATGACAGTTAAGGTAGCTAATTGGAGATAAAAGGGTAGAAAAGCCAACTTTTAAGCTAACACAGCAGGAGTCTAAGTTCAAGAAAAAGAAAAAATCTAGGCAGAAAGAACAATATTAATCAAATCCCACTAAAAAAATATTAACTATGAAAGCAAGTAAAGTAAGTGTGCCTTGCTAGACTTTATACAAGTTAAGGTTCTAGGCTTTTTTCCTGAATTCTTTTACTATCTCCCTTTGTGAACCTGGGCAAGTACACCTTTATGTCTTCATATCTCTTTGTAGAAATGAGAACAGAGGAGGTATAGGCATACTGAAGAATAAATATTTTCTTTAACCACAGAGAGGAGTAAGTTCTCCACCCCAAATTGATATGCATATTCATCAGTTATGAAATAGAAGCATCCAAGCTCATATCCCTAGCTTTGAAATGGACAGATTAAGAGAATAGAAAATAATGTGTATTGGGTATGTTATAGACACTAGGTGTCATGCCAGGTATTTTACACACTATCTTGTTTAACCCCTGTTTTACTTTGTTTTTAACCCTTTATTTTATCATTTATCTACTTACTAATTCCTTATTATACCCATTAAGGAGCTCTGGTAGCACAGTGGTTAAAGTGCTCAACAGCTAACCAAAATGTTGACAGCTCAAACCCATCTACTGCTCCATGGGAAAAAAATAGGTGACACTATGCTTCTGTAAATATTTACAGCCTTGGAAACCCATGGGGAAGTTCTTTTCTGTCCTAGAGGGTCTCTTTGAGTAGAAATTGACTTGAAAGTGTTGAATGTTTTTATATCTTATTAGAAAGGATCTCTGATGACACAGTGTTTAAGCGATTGGCTGCTATCAGAAAGGTTGGTGGCTTTAACCCACAAACCTCTCTGTGGGGAAAAAGATACGGCAGCCTGTTTCCATAAAGATTTAAATTATTATTAGGTGCTATTGATTCAATTATGACACATAGAGATCTGAATCAAGCCCTGTTTTGTGCCATCCTACAGTCTCCATCATGCTCAATTCATTATTGCAGTCACTGTGCCAGTTCATCTCATTCAGGGTTTTCTTCTCTTCCACTCTCTACTTTTCCAATCATGTTGTCTTTCAAAGGACTGACACCTATTAACATGCCTGGAGAATGTGAGACAAAGATTCACCATCCTTGCCTCTGAGGAGCACCCTCGTTTCACTTCCTCCTAGGCAGATCTGTTTGTTGTTTTGACAGTTCATTCAATACACTTTGCTAACATCACATTTCAAAGGCATTAATTTCTTCTTCAATCTTCATTATTCATTGTCTAACTTTCGGATGCCTAGTAAGCATATGAAAATACCAGGGCTTGGATTGGGTGCATCTTGGTCTTTCAAATGACCTCATTGCTTTTGTGCATTTTAAAGAGCTCTTTTGTAGCATATTTTCCCAGTGTGACATGACTGTTTATTTCTTGACTGCTGCTGCCCTGGTGTTGATTGTGGATCCAAGTAAAGTGAGATCATTGACAACTTGTCTTTTCTCCATCGATCATGATATTCTCTATTGGTCCAGACGTAAGGATTTCTGTTTTCTTGATACTGAGATATAATCCATTTTGGCGGCTGTAGTCTTTTATTTTCTTAAGTAATTGTTTCAAATCTTCAGTTTCTACAGCAAGGTTATGTCATCTGTTTATCTCACATTGCTGATGAGTCATCTAATCCTGATGCCACATTTTTCTTCATGGATTATTTGCAGCTTTAATAGATATGGTTGTTGTTGTTGTTATGTGCCGTCGAGTCGTTTGCGACTCATAGCGACCCTATGTACAACAGCCCTAAACCCTGCTCTATCCTGTGCCAATCTCATTGCCTCTGACACACCCATCCCGATTACCCCAGTCACTGAATCAATCCACCTCATAGAGGGTCTTCCCCTCCTGCGCTGTCCCTGTACTCTACCCAGCATGATGTCCCTCTCTAAAGACCTGTCTCTCCTTACAGCATGTCCAGAGTATTCAGGCGAAGCCCCAGAATCCTTGCCTCCAAGGAGCAGCCTGGTTTAACCCTCTCTAGGGTGGATCTGTTTGTTTTCTTGGCAGTCCATGGTACATTCAATACTCTTCTCCAGCACCACAGCTCAAAGGCGTCAATTCTCCTACTGTCCTCCCTAGTCATTGTCCAACTCTCTGATTCATAACAAGTGATTGCAAAAACCATGGCCTGTATCAGGTGCATCTTAGTCTCCAGAGAGACACCGTTGCTCTTGAGTACTTTAGAGAGGTCCCTAACAGCAGACTTTCCCATCGCAATACGTTTTTTGATTTCTTGGCTATGGAGAAAAGATATAACCCTGACACAGTCTTTATTATACCTTTGCATATAAAGAAAACTTCTCTAGTTTCAGCTAAAATTTATCTGACATCAGCAGTGGTATCCCTTGTTCCATAGCTTCTGCTGAAACTAGTTGAATTTTTGGAGGTTTTCTGTTGATATATATGATCTGTTTGTTTTTAAATAATCTGCAGCAAAAATTTACTAGCTAGTGATATTAATCATTCTGTTGGTTTGCTTTTTTTTTTTTTTTTTTTTTAAGAATAGGCAAAGATAGAGATTTCTTCCAGTCCATTGGCCAGGAATTGTCTTCCACGTTTCTTGGCATAGACTAATGAGCATGTCTAGGTCTGCATCTTTTGCTGAAACACTTCAGTTGGTATGCCATCAGTTGCTGAGGTCTTTTTTGCCAGTGCCTTCAGTGCAGTTTGGACTTCTTCCTTCAACACCATGGGTCTTGTCCCATGAAGTGGTTCAGCATCCACCAGTTTTTATTTAGTACAGTGATTAGGTGTATTCTTTACATCTTCTTTTGATGCTTCCTGCTTCATTTAATATTTTGCCTGTATAATCCTTGCCCAATTACAATTTAAGGATTGCATTTTATTCTTTCAGCCTAGGAAATACAGGACATGTTCTTTTTTGCTTTTCTAGCTCCAGGTCTTGGCAAATTTTATTCTAATACTTTGCTTTGTCTTCTTGAGCTGCCTTTTAAAATCTTCTATTCAACTCTCTTATTTCATAATTTCTGCCTTTTACTTTAATACCTCTATGATGAAGAGCAAGTTGCAGAGTGTCTTCTGAGAGCCATTTTGGTTCTTCTCTTTCTTTCCTGTCTTCTTAGTGACTTTGTGCTTTCCTCATGTATGGTGTCCTTGATGCTATACCACAGCTCATCTGCTCTGTGGTTGTCAGTGTTCAATGAATTAAATCTGTTCTTAAAGTGATTTTTAAATCCATGCCAGAGAAACACAAAATCGTATTTTGACTCAGGGATTTGTTTTCATTTTCTTCAGTTTTAATTTGAACTTTTATTTGAGTAATTGATGGTCTGTTCCACAGTCCATCCCAGCCTTGTTTGTTGTTGTTATGTGCTGTTGAGTCACCTGTGACTCATAGCAACCCTATGTTCAACAGCCTTAAACCCTGCTCTATCCTGTGCCAGTCTCACTCTAATACACCTACCCCCATGACTCCAGTCACTGAATCATTCCACCTCATAGAGGGTCTTCCTCTCCTGTGCTGTCCCTTCACCCTCCCAAGCATGACATCTTTCTCCAAGGACTGGTCCCTCCTTGCAACATGTCCAAAGTATGTGAGATGAAACTTCAGAATCCTTGCCTCCAAGGAGGAGCCTGGTTTAACCCCCTCCAGGTCTAACCTGTTTGTTTTCCTAGCAGTCCATGGTATATTCAATACTCTTTTCCAGCACCACAGCTCAAAGGCATCAATTCTCCTTCTGTCTTCCCTAGTCATTGTTCAGCTCTCTGACACATAGCAAGTAAGTGAGGCTCAATATCAAGAAAACAAAGATTATTACCACTGGACCAATTGGCAGCTTCAGGATTGATAGTGAAGAGATTTGAGATTGTTCATAGCTTTAGTTTGCTTGGCTCCACAGTCAGCACTCTTGGCACCAGCAGCCAGGAAATTAAAAGACATATTGCAATGGGAAAGTCTGTTGTTAGGGACCTTTCTAAAGTACTGAAGAGCCATGATGATGTCACTCTGGAGACTAAGGTGTACTTGATACCGGCCATGGTCTTTGCAATTACTTGCTATGCAGCCTTGTTTAAGACAGTAAAAAAAAAAAAATATATATATATATATATATATATATATTAACAACCTTGGAAATACAGGCACTTCTCTGTTCTGCAGGGCCACGGTGAATTGAAATCAACTCAACTACAATTAGCATACCCTACTAGCAACCTATTTTGTAGATAAACTTATGACTCAGGGGTTAGATAACTTGTCCAGGGATCACACAGCTAAAAAGTAGCAGATTGAGGTTCAAGGCAGGTTATATTGCTTGTAGCCAGTCAACTGAGATTCTTCATGCTCTGATGCACTTATGGCATTTTTCCCACAAACTCTGCCTCCATCTCTGAAAGCTTCTGTTCTGTCAGTTGACATTAGCACTCCTTTTTTAAATCAGGAAAGTGAAGTAAAGCTTCTAGTGGAACGGATGATGGCCCTGCAGACAGACATTGTGGACTTACAGAGGAGCCCGATGGGTCGGAAGCAGGGCGGCACGCTGGATGACCTGTGAGTGCCACTCTGGAGGGGACCCACTCCACTGCCATTCTCTTCCCTTCTCACCCACTGATGCTCCAGCCAGTTTTCCTGTTGTATTAAGATTGTCTGTGTCTCCTAGCGTGGTGATTATATAGAGGTTCCAAAAGACCATTCCCCTATATGGAATGTTCCCTTAGTGAATGACCTGTACTTACCCCAGACACGGATCAAGGCACATCATCACCATGAGCCTTAGTTACCATATCTATTAAAGAACAAGAAAAACCATTTGACTTCATACGGATTTTAGAGCCACGTATTGCATTTGAGAAGTAGTTTGTAAAAGAAAGGCTGTAAAATGCAAATAGCCACCACTGCCATGCCAGACATCACTGCTTGTCCAGCCCCCTCCACCAGCCCCAGCTCGGGCAGGGGGTGGGGTGGGAGTGGGGGAAGTAGAACAGCGGGAAAAGCCTGGCAGATTTTACACGTTTGGCTCTGGAAATTGTTCATTTGAGGTTTTATCCAGCATGTGGCATTGGCTCCTAGGGAGGATAGGGCATCCAGACAAACCAATCCCACAAGCAGGAATAACAGGAAGCCCCAGTGTTGCCTGCAGAGAACCAAGAAAACTGGGTCATTTGATCAAGAGCTCTGTCACTGGTGCTCAGCAGGGCTCCCTGGTGCTTTTATTATCTAGGCCCAGACACCTGAATGTAGAAAATTTTGTTTGCATATATTCTATACTTCCTCTAAATCCTTTAACTCTTTATTCTCCTCTAGTTTTCAAATTCTACTCCTCTTTTGAAATGTCAGCTGGGGGGGGGAGAGAAGAGAGAGGGGCTTATGTCCCCTTCTGAGTTTGAGCTGTTGAGAAGGAGCCATTGCCCTGGGGGCTTGGGTCCAGCGATGGTAAATGGTATCAGTGTCACAGAAGCCATGCAGAAGGGGAAATTGGAGGGATTCTGTGTGATCACGCCTTGGAGATGGCTGAGTTTTGATAATGAGGGAGAATGTTCCCTGTATTCACCAGGAATGTCACCAGTAATAATGGTGTAGTCCAAGCAAAGCAGCTTACTGCAGTCTTGTCTCTAGCAGTCACTCTCTGCTGGCAGGAATTAGCAAGCCGATGTTTCAAATGACTATCTGACATCCAATCTAAACAGAACTCTGCCTCCTTGTATATTTCAGAGAAGAACAAGCAAGGGAGCTTTACAGGAGACTAAGGGAAAAGCCACGAGGTAAGTGAGGTTTGACGTAAGTGAGGTTTGACGACTGTCCTGGGTTCCATTTTACCTCACTTTTATGAGACAGCGGCGCTTTCTCCAAGCGCCTTTGGGGAACTATGCTGCTCTTCTCTTTCCAGACCAACGAACTGATGGGGACAGTCAGGAAATGGTACGACTGCTGCTTCAGGCCATCCAAAGCTTCGAGAAGAAAGTGCGGGTGATTTATACTCAGCTCAGGTACAAGGCCCGCTCGCCTGCTCTCGGGTGGATTGCAGGGAAGCAGCAGGCAAGGCTTCACGTGTGGCCTTTCCTCACTCTGCCCGTGTGTGCCCAGCTGCCTGAAGAAACTTGCCAACTGGAAGTTTATAATTGCTGAGGACTATGTTCTCCTCAGGTGACACAACTTACCATACTCAGCTGACAGTCAAAGGCTAGCAGATAGAATCACTCAGGCATACCTTAGCAGGAAGGCCTATTACTGGTGATCTACTGAAAAATTAGCCCTTGAAAACTCTCTGGAGCACAGTGCTACCCTGACACTCATCAGGGCCTGACACTGTCATGAGGGAGAGTCTGCCTGAAGGCATCTGGTTTAGTACTTTGTTCTGGTTTTGGTATATTCTCTTGCTTTCTCCAACCCAAATGCCATTTGAATTTGTCATATGTTTTTTTTTCACACAGTAAAACTGTAGTTTGCAAGCAAAAGGCTCTGGAATTACTGCCTAAGGTGGAAGAGGTGGTCAGTTTAATGAATGAGGATGAAAAGACTGTGGTCCGGCTTCAGGAGAAACGACAAAAGGAACTCTGGAATCTCCTGAAGATTGCTTGCGTGAGTCTCCTATTACCAGGCCCAAAGCTCCTGGTCTGCAGCCTCTTAGGGCCTTTCCACCTCCACATGGCTGTAACCGCCCTTCAGGGCTGACTGATAAACCCAACAGCATATACCCATTTACTGCTAGGACATGCTTCATAAGATGGACAGTTAGTGTAAGAGAGGAAGACTCCCAGCTAGTGGACTGACGCAGTGACTGTAACATTGGGCTCAAGTGTGTCAGAGATGAACATGGCACAGGATAGGGCAGAGTTCAGATCTACTGTTCATAGGGTCACTATTAGTCATACTCAAGTCCGTGGCACCACACAACAACTTTGCTGCTCATTTTTCACTTCTGTCCTCCATGACTTGAAGTGAAGGGCAGAATTGATACCGTCTAACCATGGACTGCCAGGAGAACAAACAGGTTCACCTAGACGGTGAAGCCAGCCTGCTTCTTGGAAGTGAGGATTCTGACTCTGTCTGACAAACTTTGGGCATGTTGCAAAGAGGGACATCATGCTTGGAAGGGTGGAGGGACGGAGGAAGAGAGGGAGGCCATTGATGAAATAGTGACTAAGGTAATGAAGATACATTGTGTCAGAGACAATAAAATTGGCACAGGATAGAGCAGATTCCAAGGCTGTTGTACCTGGGATCACTATGAGGTGCAAGCAACTCAACTGCATATAACAACAATAAGAAGTATAGCTATGAATTATTGAAGAGAGCTCAAGGAGACAGTGTAAAGGAAAATGAGAACCACAGACATAGAAGAGCCAGTATAATGGATGGGAGCCTGAGTTTATGTGGAGGGTGAAATGCATTGTGAAAACTGCAGAGAGGTTGAGGAGGATGAAAGAGCAGTTTGCTCATTCAGAGCCCTGCATATCAGTGTGGGTGCCATGGTGGCAGTGGGTTCAGAGGGTGTGGGTGACTTTTCTGAGAATTTTAGATCCAAAGGGGGGCAGAGTTAGTCAAGATGGAAGAAGGATACAAGGATGAGTTGAGCACATTTCAAAGCAAAAAGCACGTGTTCTTGAAGAGATTAATAGGGTGAAAGAGAAAGGGACAATTGATGAGCATAGTCTCAGAAACACAAGAGAAGTTAAGATCAGTGTATGGATAGCTACAGAAACACTTTCTAAGTTCACATGGTTGTTATGGAGAGAGATGTTAACTGATCTTTTTGAAAGACTAGCGAGTGTCTTGCAGCCAAATGACTTAGGAGAAAATATGGTGATGTGAATGCAAAGCTTAAATCATCTCTTTGCTCCAAAATTTTGATGACTTTTTCATTTTGTCTTTCAGAGCAAGGTACGTGGTCCTGTCAGTGGAAGCCCAGATAGCATGAATGCTTCCCGCCTTAGCCAGCCTGACCAATTGATGTCTCAGCCCTCCACTGCCCCAGACAGCTTAGCCGAATCAGCCAAGAAAAGGTAAGGCGAAGCGACCAGTGCCACATGCACTGCAGGCAGTCCCCAGGTTACAAACATCAATGCAATCCCTAGTAACAGACCGACCCCAAGCCCAGTATAATTAAAAATTCAAAGTACATAAAATAGTTAATAACAACCCTGCTTGCCGAAACTGAGGAGGACGTGAAGTGCTTGATGTAGAATATGAAGGAATGCTGCCTTCAATATGAATTAAGGCTTAATATCAAGAAAAGAAAGATTCTTACCACTGGGCCAATTGGCAGCATCAGGATGGATGGTGAAGAGATTGAGATTGTTCACAGCTTTAGTTTGCTTTGCTCCATAGTCAACATTCTTGGCACCTGCAGCCAGGAAATTAAAAGGCGTATTGTCATGGGAAAGTCTGCTGTTAGGTACCTCTCCGAAGTATTGAACAGCAGTGATGTCACTCTGGAGTCTAAGGTGCACCGGATACAGGTCATAGTCTTTGCAGTCACTTGCTATGCATCAGAGAGCTGGACAATAACTAGGGATGATTGACGGAGCATTGATGCCTTTGAGCTGTGATGATGGAGAAGAGTATTGAATATACCATGGACTGCTAAGAAAACGAACAGGTTAGAACTGGAGAGGGTTAAAAAGCAGGCTGCTCTTTGGAAGCAAGGATTCTGCAGCTTTATCTGACATACATTGGACATGTTGCAAGGAGGGACCAATCCTTGGAGAAGGACATCATGCTTGGGAGGATGGAGGGACAGCGCAATGAGGTGGATTGATTCAGTGACTGGAGTAATGAGGAAAAGTGTGTCAGAGACCGTGATATTGGCACAGGATAGGGCAAGGTTTAGGGCTGTTGTACATAGGGGTCGCTATGAGTCGCAGGTGACTTGACAGCACACAGCAACAACAATAACTAAATAGGTGCTAATTTGTAGTGTGCATCAAAACATTATTTTTACTACTTGTGGTGGTAGTTCTATATCGCCATGTCGTAACCAAGTCATAGCTGAGCCTCCAGCAGGTTTTTAGAGGTAGTAAATCACACAGAAGCAGATGGCCCATCTTTCTTCCTAGGAGCAGCTGATGGATTCAAACCTAGTGACTTTGGGATGGCAGCACAACTCCTTACCACTACGCCATTAGATGGCTATATTCTGTTAAAGATGTTTTAGTGTTTTGTCTTGAAATATTTCTTTAATGTTTTTTAAGCCTGGAAAAGTGCAATATATATTACACACTAAGACAAACATTTGACTAATTGATGTGAAATAGGAATTGTGCCTGTTACAATTTAGGTCTGAATTTGAGATACAGAGACTTCAGAATGGAACTCATTCATAATCCAAGGACTACCTGTTTTCAAGAGTGCATCACAGAGACATGATTGCAGACGTAAATAAATACACACACACACACACACACACACACATATACACACACATATATATATATATATATATACACACATACATACATACATATATATATATGATAATGGTGTGATAAGACCTCATATTTAAAAACCCATTAGGACCCTTGATCCTCTTGCCCTTGGGCCTAGTTTAAATTGTTTTTTTATCAAACATTCTTCTTTTTTTTCCTTTCCTTTTTTTTAAAATTTTTATTTTCAAACATTCTTCTAAGTGGTATAGCACTGGTCAGAGATAACTCGTGGTTGCTGTGATGCTTAACACTGTGACACTGATGTGTCAAATGAAATAATGGTTACACATTGTAGACAGTGTTTGGTGGAGCTCTTAAGTTAAAACAAGTTTGGAAGCAGGAGTGGCATCCACTTCTGAAATGACTTGCCCCCAGAAACTCTATGAACATGGAGAAACTATCAAAGTTATACAAGTGTTCAAGTCTTTAGTTCATAGGGTCACTCTGAGTTGTCTACCACTCAGCAGCACTTAACAACAACAACAAACACACACATACACACACACTACATAATATATCTATATACACACACACCCTATGTACACACACACATATACATATATATACACCATTATATACACATATACTTATATATACATACATATGTGTGTGTGTGTGTTTGTCTTGATAAACAGACCATTTTGTCTGTCATCATTTTGTGCACGTTTTCCTTTGTCATATATGCTATGGACTATGAGGACAAAAAAATTGCACGGGAGAAGGATGGGCAATCCCCTCCCATGCAATTACTGCCTCTGAAAACGCGCTCGAAGCTCAGCTATGAGTTGGTTCCTATTCAGTGTTACACAACAACAACAACAAAATGAAGAGAAAAGTGATGCATATATTTTGCTCATGTAGTCCCTTCCACCTTGCCAACTCCAGGTACTTTTTGAGCATTGAGATACTGCTTTGTTGTAGTACTGTTTAACGAGAAGATTGAAAATGCTCCTCAGTCCCATGCTATGATAGTTCGGCCTTCCCAAGCAGCTTTCCTTTAAGGAGTGCCCTGTTCGTGACATCTGAGTCATCTTGCCTCCTTCCTCACCCAGCCGCCACGTTGAGTTACCACTTTTTTCCACCCGTTGCCTCCCACTCATCCATCCCTGCTCCTCCAGTTGCTTAGACCTCTGAGAAGAGCTGGTGAGCAGAATAGACAGACCTGCCCTGACAAGGCTACCTGCCTCCCTGCTGCCGGCTCTGCCTCCAAGCCGGCTTAAGTAAAATTCATCTTAACAAAATGAAATTTTGAACAAATTAAGCCCTGGTAACTAACCAGTAACATCTCCCCACACGTTGAATAAAAATCTAAACTTTTGGGGGCACTTGCAGCCTCATCAGTGTGGCTCTCTTGGCTGAGCCCCATCCCAGCAGTCCTCTGCAGACTTCCTGCTTTGGCCTGGTTGCTGGTTCCTTTTTTTTTTTTCTTTTTAAAAATATGTTTGATGTTGAGAATACACATGATAATACACCACGAGTCCCACATTTCTCCATGTACCATGTCATTCCATTCAGTGACCTTCGAATTGTGGTCCCATTCTGCTCTTGTTCTGCATTGTTCCTTCATCCTTTGATATACATTTTCTGTCCCTTAAGCTTCCAGTCAAATCTTTTAAGTCACTATTTTCAATATCTCATGAAGCCATTTCTTAAAAAGTAGACTCCCTGCCCCGCCACCCACTAAACTGCTCAAGTGTTTATTTAAAGAAGACTTCAGGGAATATTGTTGGTGTAAGGTTTAAAATCTCAGGGTAGTGGTTTTAGAACACTGTGTCAGTCCATCTCATCGATGGTCTCCCTCTCTTTCTCTGTCCCTCCACCCTTCGAAGCATGATGTCCCTCTCCAAGTACCTCCTTGCAACATGCCCAGAGTATGTCAGATGAAGCCTCAGAATCCTTGCCTCCAAGGAGCAGGCTGACTTCACCCTCTTCCAGGGTGAACCTGTTTGTCCGCCTGGCAGTCCATGGTATATTCAAAACTTTTCTCCAGACAAAGGCATTAATTCTCTTTCCATCATCCCTAGTCATTGTCCAGCTCTCTGATGTGTGTTGGAGACAATAAAGTTAGCACAGGATAGAGCAGGTTCAGGGCTGTTGTACATAGGATCATTATGAGTTGCAAGTGACTCAAGGGCACATAACAACAATAGTGGTTTTCAGGGTTTATTCAACTTTTCATGTCTGCAGGAGTCTGGAGTCCATGAGAATTTGAAAGTCTGTATTTCCCTACATTTGAGCCAGAGGCTTTCGTAGAATCATTGTGCAAAGTGTTCAGTAATGCTAGCTGAGCACCATCCACTCTTCTGGTCTCCTGAAAAGGGGGCAGTTGTTCATGAAGATAGTTGCCCACACATTCCATATCCTCTCATGATTTTACTTCTTCCTGTATTGTTAAGTGACTAGAAACCATTTTTTGTGGCCTGGACAGTTGCTTGCAAGTTTTTAAGACTCAAGGCAACGATGCACTGAATTAGGAAATAGGACAAAAGTACTAATGAAGTTACTGGGATGCCCTATAAAACCATGACCCTAAGCTTCCAAAGCAAGACAGCGGATCCCTTGAGGCTTTTGATTGTTCATAGTCCAGTGTTTCTAAATGTCTGATCCCAGACCAGCAGCATTAGCAGCATCTGGTATTTCCTAGACATGAAGATTCTCAGGCAAGGCCTACTGGGTCAGAAACTTGGGGTGGGCCCAGCCGTCTGTGTTTTAACAGCACCTCTGGGGATTCTGATGCACATTCATATTTGAGAACCATAACCCTCAAACGCTGGCTCCTCACATGTCTTTATGCAAAATGTAATGGTCCTCCCAGGAGCCCAAAACTGCGCTTCCCAATAATGAGGCATTTCACTGCTAACTCACTCAGACAGCTTTGTGGGAGGAAGACCTGACCATCTACTCCCCTAAAGAAAACCTGCATTGTGCCGTCCTCCAACAGCATCTAATGACAATGGTGTCCTCCCATCCGCAGTGCACATCTGCTGTGCTTGCTTCTCACTCTCTCCCCAGCCCTCAGCTCCATGCATGTGGTTTTTTTGTTTGTTTCAAAGTCAGTCCTGTAAGCATTTATTCAGTACCTTATATTATGCTGAGTCCCAGGAGCTAGATACAGTTAAGCCTGGTTGCTGTAGGTAAAACCACAGACAGAAAACAATTACTTATTGTTTAGTGCAAGAGGGAGAAAGCAGATGGTCTGTGAGTGAGAAGAGGAACAAGATTCATTTTCAGGGTGAGAAAATGTTCTAAAAGTACATTATGGCAGTAATTGCTGGCTGAGTGGCAAGAAGCTGTGCTGCAATCCTAAAGGCACATAGTTTGACTCCACCAGCTGCTCCACAGGAGAAGGATAGGCAATCTCCTCCCATGTGGGTAACTGCCTCTGGAAAACCCACTGGAGCTATGTGTCATTTGTGACTTGATGTTGTTATTGTGTGCTGTTGAGTCAGGACTGAATCATAGCTGACCCTTTTTGGGGGGATTGTTGTGCAACTTCTTACCACCAGGCCACCAGAGTTTGTTATTTAAATTTTTAAAATGTTGCCAAAAGTTCTTTAGCACATTTTTTAAATGGTAACATTAGTTCTGATTATATAATAATGATGCTTTCTAATCATCCGATCTGTTTTGGTTGTTTTTTAAGTGAAGAACTGGTGGCTGAAGCACATGCTCTCTGCACGCGGCTGGAAAGTGCAATGCAAGATACCATGAAGGGACAGGACCAGAGTTTAATGGTAACGGCCCACTTCACTCCCAGCTGTTCTATCCAAAAGCAAATGAAAAAGCAGTTCGGTGTTACCCTTGACTTGTATGCACTTGGGATGTTCTGGAACCTATTTATTAGTCATGGTCACGGATGGATTGGTACAGTGGCTACAGCTGCAGTCCTGCAGTGATTGTGAGGATGGCACAGTCAGGGCAGCATTAAGTTCTCTTGTACATGTCACCAGCACCTAACAATAAGGGCTAACATCTACTGAATGCCTACCTGTAAGTACTTTATGTGCATCATCTCATTGTAGCACATAAAAAAGTAGCATTATTAACAGTGGAAGCAGATGCAGCCACATATCAAAGATTAGGTGGAGCCACCAGAACCTTGGGGAGAGGCATGATTCCTCTCACATGGAATCAGTACAGTCACTACGTTAGTTTAGACTTGTAGCCTCCATAATTACGAGAGAATAAATTTCTGTTCCTGTTTAAAAAAAAAGGCAGCATATTATTCTCGGGAAGACCATCCCCACCTGCAGCTCGGTAGCACTGCTGAGTTCCCCTGTGTGCTGGAACCTGTGCTAGAATCTGTGACAAGGCCAGTCTCTGTCATGTCCCTGCCCGAGGAACTCAGCACAGCAGTAGGTAGTACTGCTTTGCTGCTGTTGTTATTGTTAGGTGTTGTTCTAATTGGAGGGAAACAGCTCTGAAGAAAAGTATACAAACTACAATTATATGAAGACAAAGTTTAAGTTGCTAACATGGTCTGAATTCATTCCCTTAGGTCTGTTAATGGCCTTTTCCTGTTAATCATATGCTAACCTCCTTCCTAATTTCTAAAGTTTTCCCAAGAATCCCAGGGGATAGATACTACTGCTAATTGCAATCACTCTGCATTATTCATATTTTTGTTATTGTCCAATTTGTGAATTTTTGATCTCTTAACTGATTCTCTTCCAGACACTGTGTATTTTGATCATGTCATTGCTTATATACACTTTTGCCAAAGAAGGACTTAAAAGAAAGGAGGAATGGCTTCACCAGGCTATGTCACCTGGTGAGGTTGGAAATAGATAGCTAAAATTTGCTCTTGATAGCCCCTACCCACAATGAACACGAAAATGTGCTATGGCTACACGTTGTATTAAAATTTTTTCTTAGCTATAGTCAGGAAATCCCAGGGATCCTGAGCAAATCCAGGGAAAAGATCATGTACAGTTTTGAATGTGGAACTTTAGGTCCACAGGATTGCCCTCTAATAACAAGGATGCTCTAAATAGTAAGACTGTTGTTATTAACAAGAGCATTTAAATTGACTTCTAAATTGAATTGTTTGCCTACTGAAATTGAGGTGTATTGTTGGCTGCTGTATTTTTAACATGCCTGTTGGCTTCTAGACTCTAGACTGGAGTTGGTTACAGACAGAGGAAGAAGAACAGAACAGCCTGGAGAGGGCCTCGTGACCCTGTGGGTGGCCTGGACCACCTGATGGCGGCTCCCCGGACTGAGGCTCTGTCGCCAGGGCTCCATCTACGGTCATGGCGCAGAAATCTTCGGCACTCAGATGGAGATCTTCTGACTTCCCCCAGCAGTTGTGACATTTACACTGGACCAGGGTATGGCCCCTAGGGGGCCATGCTGGACACCTTGTCTGCACACCTGGAAGTCTTTCCTCTCAGAGGCCCAGCACACTTTGATGCCAGGTCACATGCTTTCAGGGAAACAGAGCCACAGCAGCACTTCCTTTGCTATGGAACCAATACTCAGAGTACTGTTTGCCCCACAACCACTAGACAAATTCCAACTAGAATGTTTCAGGACAGTCAAATGGCACTCAGTGCCAACCTGTCCTCTCCTGACCTCCTCCTGATCAGAGGCCTTGATTTACCTGTTCTTAACCATCTTTCAGCGAAGTTTCTGCAAATCTCAAGTCAGGTTCTTCCAGACAGACTTGTTAACCATTGATACGGCCAGGCCTCATCCTCTTTCTCCCCCTTGTATTTCACTGCTGCTAATATTTTACTTTTACCTACCACTTTGGTGGACTCTGCCTCTCAACAAGGCAGTAGGGATGCTAAGCACTAGAGCCATGAAGGAAAAAGCACCTACTTTCCTTTGGATCTCCAGGATTGCCTGGGGTTGCGCTGTCATGGAGAAGAAGAAAACTCACACCTACCAGCCTGCTGGCCACAGACACCTGCACCTGTTTTTGCTCAGACGCATCCACGTATGGTCGAAGCAGGGGGAGGGCATGTCCTGCCTTTCATATCATACAGCAGTATTATTAAATGGTTATATTTTCAACATAGTTTCTATATTTTATAACATGGTTCAAAGACACAGGGTTCTGTGATCTCTGTGATATCTATGGCTGGGATACAGAGCCTTGGTGTCACAGTGGTTTAAACACTTGGCTGCTAACTAAAAGGTGGGCAGTTTGAACCCATTAAGGGAGGAAGAAGAAGCAGTCTGCTTCTGTGGGAAACACTCTGAGGCAGTTCTGTTCTGTCCCATCGAGTACCTCTCTGAGTCAGAATCCACTCAACTGAAGGGGCTTTGATTTGCATTTTGGGGAATGAGCTGCTAAACGCGAAACCTAACTTTATGGGGAAATGATATAATTGAATATTGCCAAGATCATAAAGAGTGCAGTAGACTTTTTTTTTATATTCCAATATTCAATTAAATTTCTGTAAAAGCAAAGGGATCAAAATGAGTCCAGACTGTCACAAGTATATGCATTTTGTTGAATAAGAAAGTTGATGGAGAATTTCACAAAGAGCACTCAATGGCAATGTTTTAAACCACCTCTCAAACCTTCTGGAGATTCATACTGTACACTGGTATATTAAAGTATCTAAAAAGTCATAAACAAACTGATTTAACTTTGTAAATTGACTATTTACCCTTCTTATTTGACCATAGAAAGATTGTGTCTGTGTGTGTGTGTGTGTCTGTGTGTGTATAGCAATAATATTCCAAAGAATTGGAATTTGATGAACCATGGTTTTGGAAATACTGTTGAGGGATATTGTGGGAAATAAGACTAGAAAAACAGACTGGATGGAGGGAATGAATTCTGGGCTAAGAGCCATGGCCTTTATTACAGGCAATTGAGAATCACTGAAGATTTCTGAGCAGGAAATGCTAAACTGGAAACAGTGGTTTAAGAAGAGTAATAGGGTTGGGATGTACCAATTAATTTTTTTTTAAGTGAAAAAGCTCTAAGTAGGAGTTCTGCTTAAAAAATACAGAGTAGCAGGGAGAAAAGTGCAACAATGAATGAATGAAAGAAAGAAAGAAAATCCAAAATCTCTGTAAATGTTCATTAAAATTAATTTTTAAAAAAAAACCAAATTAAAAAGAAATACAGAGTAAATATGGTTTCCATCTTCATTTTGACAAAACCAAATCCTAGATACACTGCCTTCAAGTTGATTCTGACTCAAGGCAACTCCCTGCCAAGATCCTGAGGCTGTAAATTGTTATGGGAGGAGGCTGCCTCATCTTTCTGCCACTGGATGGCAGGGCATTCAAACCACTGACCCAGCACAATGGCGTCTAGGTAGTAACCTGACCCAGCACCATGGCGTCTAGGTAGTAACCTGACCCAGCACCATGGCATCTGGGTATGACATGGCAGAAGTTCCCTGGGTTTGTGTCTCATATCCCAAAGCCACCCTAACAAGTGATGACCAAAAGGCCCAAGAAAAGCATTCTTTCTTTAGCTGTAAAATAAATTGTTACAAAATAAGGAGGCTTAAAACAACAGAAATTTAAGCTCAGAGCTTGGAGACCAAAAGTCTGAATTTGCATGTTGGCATTGGCAGGGCAAGACACTCCCTGCCAGCTCTGGGGGAAATTCTATTTCTCACCTCATCTAACTGCTGGTGACAGTTCATGGTTGTGTGTTTCCAGTCTCCACCTCCATCATTGGGTTGCCTCCTCTTCTGTCTCCACCTCCCCTCTGGATATCTTTTAAGAACATTTGCCATTGTATTAGGGACCCTTTCTGGATAATCTCAGATAAGCACCTTTTCTCAAAATTCTTAACTTGATTATGTATTTTGCCATGTTGTTGTTGATTGCCTTCAAGTTGAGCATGACTCATAGCGACCCTATAAACAAAAGGCCTGAAGCCCCTCTACAACTACTGACATTTATCAAAGTTCATAGAATTTCCAGAGGCATGTTTAGAAAGTAGTTAGATGATACTCACTTTTTTGCCTTATTAGGTAATGTTCACAGATTGTAGAGATTGCAGAAATGGGACATACCTTCTTAGGGGCTACCATTTTGACCCTTTACAATCTGAAAAACTGATACTCTTCAAATTCACATCTGTCCCATATGCATAATAAGCATTCACCCTATCCTAACATCTCCAGAAGCCTCAGTCCTAAATCCAGAACTCTCATCCAGCTTTAGCTTCAAAATTCCATCTCTGATCAGCATCATCTTAGTCATGGCTAGATCATGAACCATCCTTTGGCAAAATCACTCCATAGGCAGACCTGTGAAACTGGAAAATGAGTATCTGCATCTAAAAATACAAGAGTAGGTTAGGATCCGATATTAGGGTCAAGTCGACCATGAGGCACACCAACCAACCCATGAACAACAGATGAGAGGAACTGAAAAGAGTAAAGGGGTTGCTAGCTCTAAATAGGTTTGAAATCCAGCAGAACAAATTCCGTTAGATTTCAAGACCTGACACCAACTCTGTGGAAGATTGACCTCAGGGCACACAGTATGTAGACCTGAGAGTGCTTCTTGCCTCGGTGCCCACACCTCTGGCCTCTGTGCAGGGTTCTGCCGTCGGAGCCATTCTTCCTTTCCCCCAAAGGATAGCATATGTTTGCACTGAATAGCTCTGTCAGCCTATCTCTTCTGTTACAGGATTTGGGGAGTTCAACAGTCTTACATAATTTTGTTCTGTTTGCCCCTTACGATCCAAATTAGCTCTATTTCTGCTTATGCAACATTATCAAAAGCTGTTAGGTCTTCTGAACAGCTACAGAACGTCAACATTTCATCTAAATTTCTGCCACTGCATAACATATGTCGCCTTTTCTCCAGTGTCCAAAAATGCATTTCATTTTTTCAGAGCCTCACTAGCAGTGACTTTAATGTTCATATTTCCACTTACATTCTTCTGTTGTCGGCAATACATGTATTTTTTTTTTCGCTAAACTTTTTAATTTAGTATTGTGTAGTTGTTTAACACATACTTAAATGGTCTTACTGGGGGAAGGGAAAGGGGAGGTTCTTGCAGATTCTCAAGGAAATGTCAGAAAGGAAATACATGGCCAGCATGATCTATGCACTTTTTGGGGTTTACTGAGTGAATAGCACTTTCCTTATGTAATACATACACTTTAGAGATGGTAAAAGCTTTCTCTACCATACTCCTCATTCCATCTGAACCTTCAAAACACACCCCCGCCCCCATTCTCTCTGACTTGTAGCCATCTCACAGGACAGAGTAGAATTGCCCCACATGGTTTCCAAGCCTGCCAATCTTGATGAAAGCAGAGTGCCACAGATTTCTAACATGAAGTGGCTGTTGGATTTGAACTGCCAACCTTCTGGTTAGCAGCTAAGTACTCAACTGTGGTATTACCAGCGCTCCTCAAATACTTTAACATCTATATTTACCAAAAGTCCGTTCAAGGCATTCAAGACTTTTCTATTATGCACCTCACAATTCTTCCAACCCCTATCTTTTATCCAGTACAAAGTCACTTCATATTTTTAGATATTTGATATGTCAACATCCCCCATCATTCCAAATCTATTCATTTCCTAGTTGTTATGTGCCATCAAGTCACCTGTGCCTCATAGTGAATCTGTACAACAGCTCTATCCCTTGCCAATCTTACTGGCTCCGACATGCCTATCCCTATTACCCCAGTGACTGAATCTCATTGAGGGTCTTCCTCTCCTGCACTGTCCCTCCACCCTCCCAAGCATGACGTCCCTCTCCAAGAACTGGTCCCACCATGCAATATGTCCAAAGTATGTCAGAAAAAGCTTCAGAATCCTTTCCTCCAAGGAACAGCTTGACTTCCCCCTCTCCACAACAAACCTGTTCTTCTAGCAGTCCATGGTATATTTAATACCCTTCTCCAGTACCACTGCTCAAAGACATCAATTCACCTTCTGTCATCCCTAATCATTTTCCAGATTTCTGATTCATAGCAAGTAACTGCAAAGACTATGGCCTGTATCAGGTGCACCTTAGTCTCCAGACTGACATCTTTGCTCTTTAGTACTTTGGAGAGGTCTCTGACAGCAGACTTTCTCAATGCATCTTTTAATTTACTTGCTGCTGGTACCAAGAGTGTTGACTGTGGAGCCAGGCAAACCAAAGCTGTTAATCTCTTCACCCTCCATCAGAATGCTGCAAATCAACCCACTGGTGAGAATCTTTGTTTTCTTGATGTTGAGCTTCAATCCATAT